CCACCACACCAACTAGTTTTCTGGGTTTTTTGGTAGAGACGGCGTCTCATTTTATTGCCCAGGCTGGTCTTTAACTCCTGGACTCAAGCAGTCCCGCTGCCTTGACCTCCCGATGCCTTGGGGTTGATTTTTTTTGAAACGGACTTTTGCTGTTGTCACCCTGGCTGGAGTGTGGCAGTGCAATTTCAGCTCACTGCAACCTCTGTGGTTCAGGTTATTCTCATGCCTCAGCCTCCCCAGTAGCTGGAACTACAGGTGTGCACCGTCACCACCTAACTTTTGTATTTTTCATAGAGACAGGATTTTACTGTGTTGGCCAGGCTGGCCTCAAACTTCTGACCTCAGGTGATCCTCCTGCTCTGGCCTCCAAAAGTGCTGGGATTACCACCTTGCCTGGCCCTAATTTTTGTACTTTTAGTAGAGGCAGGATTTCACCATGTTGGCCAGGCTGGTCTCAAACTCCTGACCTCAAGTGATCCACCCACCTCAACCTCCCAAAGAACTGAGAGTACATGCGAGAGCCACTCGGCCAGTTCTTGTTAGTAGTTTAAAAAATAGAGACAAAATACTAAGCTAAGAGTGATAATTCAGTTTGCATTGTAACTAGCAAAGCCTGTCGCCCAGGCTAGAGCGCAGTAGTGCCATCTTTGCTCACTGCAACCTCCGCCTCCCGGGTTCAAGCAATTCTCCTGCCTCAGCCTCCTGGGTAGCTGGGACTACAGACACCCGCCACCATGCCCAGCTAATTTTTATATTTTAGTAGAGACGGGGTTTCACTATGTTGGCTGGGACGATTTCGATCTCTTGACCTTGTGATCTGCCCGCCTCGGCCTCCCAAAGTGCTGAGATTACAGACGTGAGCCACCGCACCTGGCCTCATTGACTCTTGCATAAGAACCTTAGAAACAAGCTAAATTTGAATAGACTGGGGGAGAGATTTGTGACTAGTCTTCTAAGGTTGACTTTCTCATTTAGGAACACTGTTATATTTTTCCAGCTGAACTTTCTTTTATAACCTTCTCTTTATATCTTTTACATTTTTATTCTGATGTTTTTTGCATCTTTCTGTTTTTTAACAACTTTACTGAGATATCAGACTTTAAACCAAACTTCTATCTGGTTATTTCTGATACATAGTAAAGCTATTATTGCATTTTCAGTATGTAAGGATCCACTTGTTTTATTCTCTTTAAAAATCGAGTCAATTTTTCTGTGATTCTCTTAAAAAATATTCTAGAAAGACTATTCTAGGTATAATGATTGTGTTTTATTATTTTCATACCAGTCATATATCATATTGTCTATGTTTCAAGTAGAACTGTAGAACAATTATGAAGTCTGTATACCAGCAAGAAGTTAGTGAATATATTAGAAAAATAATTAAATGTCAGAATAGTATTCACTGACATTAGGAGTAGATGCTATATTTTTGTACAACCAGAATAAAAATGTATGCCTTCAGCATTCTTCTGGTTTTTTGAAGTAGGGCAATTAAAAAGTTGTTTAAATACTTGATTTTTCTGTTTTCTATAAGCATATCACATGAATAGAAGCCAAATTTGTCTACTATAACAAAAACCTATGGGGCTTTGAACCTCTTCTGTCCGTGACCTGAGAATTCAAGAATACTCTCACCAACAGTTGCCTCTTGGAAATTTAACAGTAACTTTATCACAACACTCTCTTCTCTCCACCAACATGGGTAGCTCACTGCAACCTCCACCTCCCAGGTTCAAGTGAGTCTCCTTCCTGAACCTCCCTAGTAGCTGGGATTACAGGCGTGCCCCACCACTCATGGCTAATTTTTGTATTTTTGTTAGAAACAGGGTTTTGCCATCTTGGCAAGACTGGTCTTGAACTCCCGACCTTAGATGATTCACCTGCCTTGGCTTGCCAAAGTGCTAGGATTACAGGTGTGAGTCACCGCGCCCAGACTTGGTAGCTCCTTTTTATTGTGTTTTACTTTGCTGAATGACTGATATTGTTGGGCCTATATTCATATGCTCATTGTCTATTTCCATATTCTCTATTGTGAAGTGCCTGTTCAATTTTTTTTGGCCAATTTTCTATGGAGGAAATTCTCTATATGTGTTGTGTCATATATATTATGACAAATATATGTAATGTAAATATTTTCCTCCTGCCCTTTTGCTTGTCTTTATTTATTTTTATATTTATTTTTTTGAGACAGAGTTTCTCTCTGTCACTCAGTCTGGAGTGCAGTGGCACAGTCTGGGGGCTCACTCAACCTCTGCTTCCCAGGTTCAAGGGACCCTCCCGCCTCACCCTCTCAAGTAGGTTGGACTGCAGGCAGGTGTCCACACCTGGCTCATTTTTTTGTATATTTTGAAGAGATGAGGTCTAACCATATTGCCCAGGTTGGTCTCAAACTCCTGACCTCAAATAGTCCAACCACCTCCCAAAATGCTGGGATTACACAAATGAGCTACTGCACCCAGCCTGCTTTTTTTTTTTTTTTTTTTTTTTGTAGTGATAGGATCTCACTGTGTTGCCCAGGCTGCCGTGCCTGATGATAGCCTTGAATTCTCCATCTCAAGTGATACTCCTGCTTCAGCCTTCCAAGTAACTGGGACTACAGGCATATGCCACTATGCCGGGTTTATTTTCTTTTTTTTGTGGAGACTGGGTCTCAGTATGTTGCCCAGGCTGGTCTCAAACTCCTGGCCTCAAGCAGTCCTCTCACCTCTACCTTCCAAAATCCTGGCATTACAGGTGTGACCTGAGGCACACAGCCTTTTTTTTCTTTTCAGTTAGCTGATTTGGTAAGCCATTTTAAAATGCTTTGCCCACTCCAAGGTCAGGAAGATGTTTTCTTCTAAAATTCTTCATTGCTTTATTTTTTGTGTTTAGATATGTAATATAATTCAAGTTGATCAGTGTGAGGTAGGGGTCAAGATTCTTTTTTTTCCATAAACTTTGGTATAGTTGGTCAATTTACACGCACACACACACACACACATACACACACACACACAAGAACCTCTGATAGGGTTTTGATTGGGATTGCATTGAATCTAGAGATCAATTTTAGGAAAGTTGACATAATAATGTCTATTCCTCTGCATTTAGTTAGGCCTTTATTTTAATAATATTTTTAGTTTCCAGAGGTCTTAACAGATTTAATTTTTTTTTCTTTTTTTTTTTTTGAGACAGAGTCTCGCTCTGTTGCCCAGGCTGGAGTGCAATGGTGTGATCACAGTTCACTGCAACCTCCACCACCCAGATTCAGGCAATTCTCCTGCCTCAGCCTCCTGAGTAACTGGGATTACAGGCACACACCACCATACCCGGGTAATTTTTGTATTTTTAGTAGAGACGGGGTTTTGCCATGTTGGCCAGGCTGGTCTTGGACTCCTGACCTCATGTGATCCACCGACCTCACAAAGTACTGGGATTACAGGCATAAGCCACTACACCTGGCCAATACATTTAATATTTAAGCAGTTTATTGAACTCAGATTTGAATTTAAATACTCCTAACCATTGTGCTTAATTTTCTATGATACACTGACGGAAATTTGGAATATCCAGAAAAAGCACAAATATCATCAGTAAAAAGTATTTTAGTATTTCCAATACAAAAACTTGATTAATATAAATTTGTTATTAATTTTGACAACTTGAATATTAACTGATATAATTTTGATATTATATATAAGTTTTCATTTGTGGTTATTTGCAAGCAGTGTGTTATTATTTGGCTGTAAGAGGACATGTAAATAATAGAAAAAATTTTAATATAAATAATTGTGTTTAGGGGGAAGGTCCTAAAGCCAACTCTACTCAAGGGATGCCTTGGTAGCAATGATTGTTAACCATCTGGAGTGACAGAAGAAAGTGATATGGGTAACTAACTTCTTAAGAAGTTTCATCTCAAGTTTTGTGATGTTACAGGAACAAAAAATTATGCTATTGGTTGCTCCTTTCTGGTCACATGGATGGGCATTTTCATCATGTCCTGGTAGTGTAGTGATTAATGTAGTCAATCTCTGCACTTTTTAAATTTGTGCTACAAGGGAGACAGTTTTAAATGGTTGGATGGTTTTCAGTGGTGACATTTGTATAAAAAATTTTTTTTTTTGTGGTAAACACTTGGATCACTCAGCAAATTTTGAATATTGCTGAAGCCTTTTTAGCATCCCAAGAATTCGATGCAGTATAAGATAATAAATAAATATTTAAAATTAATTTTTCTATTTTACATTCACCAAGTCAACTAGATCACATTAGTCTTATGAATAAAATGTGTATAATGCATGTAGAACTCACAGAAATCACAGAGGCATTGCTTTATGTATATTAGCTCTTGATAAGTAAAATGAATCACCCAAAGGAAACTCCGTAACGTTCCTCAGATGGCCAAAATTCAGTTGTCAAGTTTATTTTTAATGTTGAGAGTTCTTCGTTATTTCCATCTACCTACATCAGATGCTTGTTTCCATCATCTACATTTGTTCTGTTGTGACATTTGTGGGATTTGAGAGCAGTTAGGTTTTCCACCAGGCCCTCTCTTGTCTGTTGTGCAAACTATAACAGCAGTGAAATAAAACACAGACTGCCTTGTACTGCTTCTACAAATGATAACCACGTGTCACAGATTTTTGTTCTTCCTGTTGTTTGTTAGCCATATAGGATCAGGTACTCTTGTGATGAGTCTCATGGAGGGAACTACTGAGGCACTGGAAGGTCCTGTAGGCTTTTATCCCTTGAGAAGTAGTAACTTTAAAAAATCTAAAATATGGCCGGGCATGGAGGCACATGTCTGTAATCCCAGATCTTTGGGAGGCCAAGGGGGGATGATTGCTTGAAGCTAGGAGTTTGAGACCAGCCTGGGTAACATAGTTAGACCCATGGGTTCATCAAATTTTACTAAGAAAATAAACTAAACTATAATCATGCAGAATGTTAAAAGGAATATCCATTGCATTCAAATTTGGCATGCTTGTTTTCCATAGATGAATGCATTCTTTTTTTTTCAGGTTTTGAGAAGAAGCAGTGATGAAGAAAAAGTTCTTTGTTTGGTCCGACAGCGTACAGGCCACCACTGTCCAACTGCTGTGATGGTGGTGCTCATCATGGTATGGGATGGAATCCCTCTTCCAATGGCCGACCGACTATACACAGAGCTCACTGAGAATCTAAAGTCGTACAATGGGCATCCTACCGACCGAAGATGCACCCTTAATGAAAAGTAATTACATTTGTTTTATGCTGCTTTGCCATTGAGATCTCTATTACATAATGATATAATGGTTAATTAGCTACCAACTATGTATATTATATGGGATTAACAGGATTTGGGCATTGTGGAGTTAAAAAGAATGAACATTTCTTTTTCTTTTTTTATTTTTTTGTTTTTATTTTTAGTAGAGACGGGGTTTCACCATGTTAACGAGGATGGTCTCGATCTCTTGACCTCGTGATCCACCCGCCTCGGCCTCCCAAAGTGCTGGGATTATAGGCGTGAGCCACTGCGCCGGGCCGAACATTTCTTTAAAGAGTGTTTCATAGTGAGTTAAGGTCGGTTTACATCATTCTCTTTTTAGAATATTATTTCATTCTAAAAGGAAAAATATTGCTGACCCAACTGACTTAGCTCACTTCTAGAGTCTGAAGGAAAGGGATTTTTATTTAAAGGAACAGTCTTCCACAGGAGGGTCATATCATTTTGCATTTCCTCTATTCAGTGTAAGAGAATATCTGTTTTTCTATAGTCTTACCAATGATTATGTTGGCAAATGTGAGATTTTGCCAGTTAAGAGAAATGACATCAGTTTGTAATTTTTGTGTTTTTTTGAGATGGAGTTTCCCTCTTGTTGCCCAGGCTGGAGTGCAACAGCATGATCTCAGCTCACCGCAACCTCCACCTCTTGGGTTCAAGTGATTCTCCTGCCTCAGCCTCCCGAGTAGCTGGAATTACAGCCACGAGCCACCATGCCTGGCTAATTTTGTATTTTCAGTAGAGTCACGGTTTCTCCATGTTGGTCAGGTTGATCTCAAACTCTCTACCTCAGGCGATCCGCCTGCCTCCGCCTCCCAAAGTGCAGGGATTATACGTGTGCGCCACTGCGCCCAGCCTCAGTGTAATTTTCACTTGAATTTCTCTTACAAATGAGAATATTTTTTTCATATGATTAAGAACGATTTGGCTTTGTTTTTGTTGTTGTTAACAACAACCTGTTTTTGTGGAAGATTTCTAAATTTCTCTATTTTCTCTCTGATAGAACTATTACCTCTTAGTCCATGATATAATTTCTAAATTCTTTTCCCAGTTTGTTGTCTTTTTCCTTTCACTACATTATCTCCTGCAAAAGGTTTTCTTTTTAATGCAATCAAACATATCCATCTTTTTCCTTGTTTGGGTCTAGATCTGGAGTGGTATTTAAGCCTGTTTTTCTGTGACTGTAAGCAAAGCAATGTATGATTAAACCAATATTTTTAATCAGCGTTGTATCAATATTGAGTGATATTCAGGAAACTGCTGTAGGCGGTTTCACTTATAATCAGTTTCCAAGAGCCTATTGACATCAAGTGAGGAATGACTATACTTGTGTAACATGTAAATTTTTGAAATTTAAATCTGTCACACATTTAAAGTCTGCTAATTATTTTATTATGTCAACATACAATGATAATATCTCTTGCATAAAGTCAATACTCTAAAGGTTATACATATATTGTCTAATTTGTTCTTCCTAATAATTAACTAAAATAAGCGGTATTCTATTTCAGTTAATGTAGATCTAACACACCAATGAAAAGGAACCTCACAAGGCGGGGCATGGTGGCTCACACCTGTAATCCTAGCACTTTGGGAGGCTGAGACAGGAGAACTGCTTTAACCCAGAAGGTGGAGGTTGCAGTGAGCCGAATTTGCGCCACTGCACTCTAGTCTGGCCATCAGAGTGAGACTTCATCTCAAAAAAAAAAAAGAAAATGAGGATATTATTCTCTTACATATCCCCATATAATAATCAAAATCAAAAAATTTGAATTTGATAAAATACTGTGATCTCATCTTAGCTCATATTTAAATATCATCCATTTCCCAATAATGTACTTTCTGGTATTTTCCCCATGTCAATGATTCAGTCAATTTAGTTATTTTGTCCTTTTGCTCCCTTAAGCCTTTTTTTGCCCTCAGACTTTGTCTTTCATGACATTGAAATTTTTGAAGTGAAAAGATTAATTCTGTAGACTGTTGGTCAATTTTGGTTTGTCTGTTTCTTCCTGACTCAAGTCAGGCTATGAAATACAACCTATCAAAAAAAAAAAAAAAAAACCTATCGCCAAACATGGTTAAAACAAAAGGAAAAAAAATGAAATTAAAAAAATAAAATATAATCTGGACTATTACACGCAGTGCAATTTGTCCCACTACTGGTCGTGTTGACCATTTAAAATATTCTGAGGATGCTCTTTTAGATCTCATGACTTACCACATTTCCTCTGTGTTTCATTTTTTAAAATAAGAGTATGTAGTAAGTTAAACAACAATTTTCTCTCCTCTATGTCTTTTTCAATGATATGAATACATTTCTGATCTTTCTATTTGTTTGGCAACTTTACTTTTATTCTATTCAAATTTATTTTAACCATTTTCATTCTATTTGCATCTCATTTTTCTCCTTAACAAGTTACTATGATATTTTGTTCTTTCAAAAAACATCACCCAACTTGGTAAGATCTTAGGGGAAGTTGACATACCTGAGCTGCTCTTCTCTTTTTTTCCTTCATATTGTCTTTTTTTTTTTTTTTTTTTTTAACTTACAGATTTCAGTTATTTTTTGAAAAAATAGAGATGGGTCTTGCTATGTTGCCCAAGCTGGTCTTGAGCTCTGGGCTTCAAGTGTTCCTCCCACCTTCAGCTTGCCCAAGTGCTGGGATTACAGGAGTGAGTCACCGCTCCTGGCCCTCCTTTATAATGTCTTTAGTGAATTTCATTGTAGTCTTTCTTATAAGCAATGTTAAGTTACATATCAGGCATTTTCCAGGCTTTCACAGTGAAACCATAAAAAATAGATTTTATGTTCATTCTCTTGTCACCACCATGGAAGAAATGCTTTTCACCTTCTGCCATGAGTCTGAGGCCTCCCAAGCCAAGTGGAACTACATGTGCATTTCCATTGCAATTTCTCTTCTCATGATTCTGATTTGTGCTATGGCTACTTAAGGAGTATACAAACAACACGCAGCCTGGATTATCCCATTCTTCTGTTACCAGATCTTTGATTTTGCCCCGAACACCTTGGTTGCGATCACTGTGCTTGTTTATCCAAACTCCATTCAGGAATACATACAACAACTGCCTCCTAATTTTCCCTACAGAGATGATGTCATATCAGTGAATACTACCTGTTTGGTCCTTATCATTCTTCTGTTTATTAGCATTGTTTTGACTTTTAAGGGTTACTTGATTAGCTGTGTTTGGAACTACTACCTATACATCAATGGCAGGAACTCCTCTGATGTCCTGGTTTACTTTACCAGCAATGACAATACAGTGCTGCTACCCCTGTATGGTGATGCCACTGTGAATGGTGCTGCCAAGGAGCCGCCGCCACCTTACGTGTCTGCCTAAGCGGAGCTGAGGGCAGCAGCTTTACTTTTTTGACATCTGAGCAATAGTTCTGTTATTTCACTTTGCGATGAGCTCTCTGAGCTTGTTTGTTGCTGAAATGCTACTTTTAAGAATTTAGATGTTAGGTTGAAACCTGTACTTTTCAGCATATGCTTTACTCTAGACCACTGTGATAGATGAGCTGTAGAATTCTTTCTGTAGGATTCGGGGTGTAATGGACTTCACTAACCTTCCCTAGGCACAGAAACTTCCCCCAAATCTGATGGACCCAGAATCTGAGAAGTTCGCTTTTGTACCTGCTGGGCTTCAAAGTTAGGCAGTTAGTCATACTTTTTCTCTCTACTTCCTCTATTTTGAAAGTTTAAAATAAAACCAAAAGTAGACAACTTTTTCTTAAGCCATTCCAGTGTAGAGAGCAAACCTTATGAAAACAGGAATGTCAATTGTGTAATTATTGTTCTAATTAGGTAAATAGAAGTCCTTATATATGTATTACAAGAATTTGCCCCATAGTATCCCTTATGACTTAAGTTCAATGACAGTTTGCACTTGGTGGTAAGGGATTTTTCTCCATGGCCTAAATTAAGACCATTAGAAAGCGCTAGGCCGTGGGAGCAGTTAACCATCTGATGACTGTCTCATGCATCCAGGTCCAGGGACGTGGGTGACTTGCCTCTTCTGTGTTAGAGGGTGGGGTGGGTGTGTTTGGCACTGTGTGGGATCTGCTCCTCCTCTCCTGGATTCACATCCCTACCCAGGGCCCGCTTTCACTAAGTATTCTGCCTTAGCCTGGTTCAAGGAGGTCATCCAGCTGACTTTATCAAGCAGAATTGGAATATATTTGATATACATTTGCCTGACAACATGGAAAACCGTTTTCCTCCTCCTTTCCCTCCAAGGTGCATTCTACCGCTTTGAACTTCCAAGTATACCTAGTGACCTTTTAAAATGTAAATGTTTTCAGAAAAATGAAGGTTGCTTTCCTTGTATGTGCTTATTACCTTGACTACCTGAACTGCAAGGGATTTTTGTATATTCATACGTTCCAAAGTCAGCAACTCTCCTGTTGGTTCATTATTGAATGTGCTATAAATGAAGTCTTTTGCAATTAAAAAGAGATTTTCCCACACACTAGAAAATAGGTTTTGTTTCTAAATTTTTATATTATTTTCACTTTTTAAAACTAATATTTGGTTTATTGTTTGTATATTTTAATCATTACATAAGTACAATATATACTATTAAGTTGTAAGCATTATGCAATTTTATTTTATTTTTTACTTAATTTTTTAAATGTTATTTTTGTTCTTCTTTTCTGACGGAATTGAAAAGCATGGAATTCTTTTTTTTTTGTTTTTTTTTTTTTTTTTGAGACAGAGTCTCGCTCTGTCACCCAGGCTGGAGTGCAGTGGTGTGATCTCGGCTCACTGCAACTTCCACCTCCCAGGTTCAAGTGATTCTCCTGCCTCAGCCTCCTGAGTAGGTGGGACTACAGACAAGCGCATGCCACCACGCCCAGCCAATTTTTTGTATTTTTAATAGAGACGGGGTTTCACCATGTTGGCCAGGATGGTCTAGATCTCCTGACCTCGTGATCCACTCGTCTCGGCCTTCCAAAGTGCTGGGATTACAGGCGTGAGCCACTGCACCTGGCCACAATTCTTTTTTTAACTTTTATTTTAGGTTCAGGAGTACATTTGCAGGTTTTTCATATGGTAAACTCATGTCATAGGGGTTTGTTGAACAGCTTATTTAATCACCCAACTACTGATCTAGTATCCAGTGGTTATTTTTTCTGATCCTCTCTTTCTTCTAACCTCCATCCTCAGGTAGGCCCCAATGTCTGTTGTTCCCCTCTTTTGGTCCATGAATTCTCATCACTTAAATCCCACTTAAAGTGAAAACATGCAGTATTTCATTTTATTTCCCGTGTTAGTTTGCTAAGGATAATGGCCTTTAGCTTCATTCATGTTCCCACAAAAGACACGATTGTGTTCTTTTTTATGGCTCTATACTATTCTGTGGTGTATATGTACCACATTTTCTTTAATCTGTCATTGATGGGCATTTAGGTTGATTACATGTCTTTGCTTTTGTGAGTAGCACTGCAGCGAACATTCACAAGCATGTGTCTCTATGGCAGAATGATTTCTATTCCTTGGGATATATACCCAGTAATGGGATTGGAAAAGCATACAATTTTAGAACTACAAGAAGAATATATGCTTCTTTCATTATCATTATTACGATATAGTTTAGTTTAAGCCTTCAGAAATGCCCTAAAAGTGATACACTTAAGATTTAAATAAATGAAACTAGTTTTCTGCACCATTTTTTCTATTATGCACTTTTTAAAGTTTTTAAAATTGAGAAACTTTTTTTTTTTTTTTCCTAAGACAGAGTCTTGCTGTGTCACCCAGGCTGAAGTGCAGTGGCACCTTCTTGGTTCACTGCAGCCTCTGACTCCTGGGTTCAAGCAATTCTACTGCCTCAGCCTCCCGAGTAGCTGAGATTACAGGCGTCTGCCACCACGCCTGGCTGTTTTTCGTATTTTTAGTGGAGACGGATTTTCCCATGTTGGCCAGGCTTGTCTCCAACTCCTGACCTTGTGATTCACCCACCTTGGCCTCCCAAAGTGCTGGGATCACAGGCGTGAGCCGCCATGCCCAACCAAGAAACTGTTTTTATTTACAATATATATTATTTTTCAATCCTCAGGAAATTATATCAGTCTCATTTTAGATATAAAGGAGCTGAATTCCAAAGAGGTAATAAGATGTTCTAATTTTCATTTGTGATAGGGAACAAATCTGGGATTTATCTTTTTTTTTTTTGAGACAGAGTTTCACCCTGTCTCCCAGGCTATAGTGCTGTGGCGTGATCTTGGCTCACTTGAAGCCCCCAGGGTTCAAGCGATTCTCCTGCCTCAGCCTACCATGTAGCTGGGATTACAGGTGTCCACCACTGTGCCTGACTGTTTTTGTATTTTTAGTAGAGATGGGATTACATCATGTTGGACAAGCTGGTCGAACTCTTGACCTCAGGTGATCCACCTACCTTGGCCTCCCAAAGTGCTGAGATTACAGGCGTGAGCCACTGTGCCTGTCCCAAATTCAGGATTTAAAAACCATGTTCTGGCCAGGTGCAGTGCCTCACACCCGGCACTGTGTGATAACTTGAGGTCAGAAGTTTGAGATCAAGCTGGTCAATCTGGTGAAATCTATTTCTACCAAAAAAAAAAAAAAAATTAGCCAGGCATGGTGGCGCATGCCTGTAATCCCAGCTACTTGGGAGGCTAAAGCAGCAGAATCACTTGAACTTGGCAAACACAGGTTGCATTGAACCAAGATTGCACCACTGCACGCCAGCCTGGGTGATAGGGTAAGGCCGCATCTCAAAAAAAAACCAAAAAACCTGGTTCTTTATTTCCTCATCTCAGACATCTCCAAATCAAACAAGACTGGATATTTTATATCTCTATGATTTATTCCCATTTATTTGGATTTGCAGTCATGACCAAATATTTTCCCTAGAAATTTGGTTATAATGAATTATAGTTCACCCTGGTCCCGTAGTCAGATACCATTTTTTTTGTTTTACTTCTTTTTAATTAATTTATTTATTTTAATTGTTTTATTTTTGTGAGACATCTTGAAAAAATAAAAGTTAGCTTTTTATTGTTAACATTAAACTACTTTAAATAAGTAATTAAAATAGATAAGTGTTATAACTGGTTCTTTACCCATCTATACTTCTAAAGCTTTGTGAAACTGAAATGTTCTGTCTGAGGTATTCTACTGCTTTATCAATTCACTCTCTTGTGATTATGATCTTGCAGTCGTACCTGTACCTGTCAAGGAATTGATCCAGAGACTTGTGGAGCTTCATTCTCTTTTGGCTGTTCATGGAGTATGTACTTTAATGGCTGTAAGTTTGGTAGAAGCCCAAGCCCCAGAAGATTCAGAATTGATCCAAGCTCTCCCTTACATGTAAGTGTCCTTTTTTATTCAAAACTTATTTTTGAGTTACACGTTGAATATGTAAGAGCATTCCTTTAACCTTTTTGAAACAATATAAAAACTAAATATTGAAAAGTAGTAATCAAATAGTAAAATTATATTTCTATTATATAAGTAAATAAATTAATTAAGACTCTTAATAAATTAGGTAAAGACTTTAGCTATCACCCCAAATTCCAATTGTTCCTGGCTTCCTCCTCTTGCTCTGCTACCCCACCCCAGAAAAGTCATCATTAAAAGAACCTAGAATTTTATACCCAGCCAAAATAGGAAAAAGCCATTTACCAGCATTTCAAAGACTCAGAAAGTTTACTACCCACAGACCTACTATGAAAGAATTACTAAAGGACGTAATCCAGAAAGAAGACATGTGAAACCGGAACGAATCTGTCCGGGACACGAGGCCATGGTGAGCAAAGAAATTAGTCAAACATAGTGTTAAGTTAAATAAGTTCAATACTTATATATTTTAAATTAAAATAAGAACCTATAACTCCACACCTTTATCAGCTCTTGGGTGGGTAGGCAATGGGAGGGTGTGGGGCACCAGTAGGAACTAATTATTCTAATGTGTTATGCTTTGTTTGTGTAGTGAGGATTTATATTGATCAACTACAAGATCGGTGTCTTTTAATCTTAAAGCAGTGACCAAGAGTAAAAAACATTTCATATTAAAAGCCACTGTACACATACATAGACAAAAGACATTAATTAAAACAAACCTATCTGAAAACAATACTTACCTCTCTTACATGTAACAGCACTAACATAAAAATATTTAAAAAGTTAATATAGTTATTGTAAGGATTTCTACGATTCATTTTTTATCATATTTCTTTTTTTTCTTTCTTACTTTTTTTTCTTTCTTTTTTTTGAGATGAAGTTTTGCTCTTGTTGCCTGGGCTGGAGTGCTCTGGTGTGACCTCGGCTCACTGCAACCTCTAACTCCCAGGTTCAAGCAGTTCTCCTGCCTCAGCCTCCCAAGTAGCTGAAATTACCGGCATGTGCCACCATGCCCAGCTAATTTTGTAGTTTTAGTAGAGACGAGGTTTCACTATGTTGTCCAGGCTGGTCTCAAACTCCTGATCTCAGTTGATACACCTGCCTCGGCCTCCCAAATTGCTGGGATTACAGACATCAGCCACCTCGACTGGCCTTTATTTATTTATTTTTTTAGTGCTAATTTTGACATACTAAGCTGATTTCATTTCCCACTGAGTCATGACCCACTGATTGGAAAACACTGCTTGAGATGTTGTCAGAAAAACATATATTCAAGAAAGTATATATTAAATTTTTTTAATGAATAGAAATAGAATTTATACCCAGCCAAGATAGGAAAAAGCCTTTTTTTTTTTTGAGACGGAGTTCCGCTCTTGTTACCCAGGCTGGAGTGCAACGGCGCGATCTCGGCTCACCGCAACCTCCGCCTCCTGGGTTCAGGCAATTCTCCTGCCTCAGCCTCCCGAGTAGCTGGGACTACAGGCACGCGCCACCATGCCCAGCTAATTTTTGTATTTTTAGTAGAGATGGGGTTTCACCATGTTGACCAGGATGGTCTCGAGCTCTTGACCTCGTGATCCACCCGCCTCGGCCTCCCAAAGTACTGGGATTACAGGCGTGAGCCACCGCACCCGGCCCCGGAAAAAGCCATTTTTAAGGGAAATAATTCTTCTGTAGGTTGGCAAAGGGAGTTTTAAAAATCATTAGCATGCAGGATAAGTAGAAAACACAAAATAGCCAGGCACAGAACCTCACACCTGTAATCCCAGCTACACAGGAAACTGAGGCAGGATTGCTTGAGCCTAGGAATTTGAGATTACAATGTGGTGGCACGCACCTGTAGTCCCAGCTACTCGGGAAGCTGAGGTGGGAGGTTGGCTTGAGCCAACCAGCTCAATTTTACTTGTAAATATTATGTGATCAAAGTGTCTGTCACTTTTTGGCTCTCTGAGCAGCACCTTGGTGGTTGGCAAGAACAAACACCTTATGAAAGGTGGCACAGAAGAAAGTGCTTGATCCATTTTCTAAGAAAGATTCGTATAATGTGAAAGCACCTGCTATGTTCAATATAAGAAATACTGGAAAGACACTAGTCACCAGGACCCAAGGAACTAAAATTGCATCTGATGGCCTCAAGGGTCTTGTGTTTACTGTGAGTCTTGCTGATCTGCCAAATAATGAAGTTGCATTTAGAAAATTCAAGCTGCTTACTGAAGAAGTTCAGGGCAATAATTTCCTGATTCACTTCCATGGAATGGATCTTACCTGTGGCAAAATGTGTTCCATGGTCAAAATATGTCAGACAATGATTGATGCTCATGTCAAGACTACCAGTGCTTACTAGCTTCATCTGTTCTGTGTTGGTTTTACTAAATAAAACAACAACAACAACCACAATTGGGTATGGAAGAACCCCTATGCTTAGCACCAACAGTTAGGCCAAATCCAGAAGATGATGATGGAAATTATGACCTGAGAGGTGCAAACAAATGACTTGAAAGAAGTGATCAGGCTGGGTGTGGTGGCTTATGCCTTTAATCCCGGCACTTTGGGAGGCTGAGATGGGCGGATCACAAGGTCAAGAGATCGAGACCATCCTGGCCAACATGGTGAAACCCCGTCTCTAAAAAAAAGATAAAAGAAAAAGAAAGAAGTGATCAATAAATTCATTCCAGACAGGACTGAAAAAGATACAGAAAAAAATCTTGCCAGCCTATCCTCTCCCTGGTGTTTTCATTAGAAAAGTTAGAAGAAGCCAAGGTTTGAATTGGGAAAACTCATCAGCTTCTTGGTGAAGGTAGTTCTGGAAAAGCCATTGTGGACGAAATAGGTGATAAAGTAGAATGAGCTGATGGATATGAACCATCAGTTCAAGAATATATTGGTTTATAAATATAAGGGATCTTCAAAACGTTCATGGAAAATGCATATTATGAATAAACTATGCATGAATTTCATACTATTTTTGCACCCAAAAAAAACCTCATACTAACTTGTAACATCTGAATGGAGACCAGTTTGAGGCACTAAGAAGGATAAGACATCAGTTTGTAAAGTGCCTCTATCAGAGCAACATGAATTCTGCTAAAATTGAAGCAAGAACCAGCATCAAATTTGTGGTGAAGGTCTGGTGGAAGAATGATGAAGTCGTTGATGCCTTATAAAAAGCTTATGGGCAATGCCCCAAAGAAATCTGCAGTTTACAAATGGATAACTCATTTTAGGAAGGGATAGGACAATTTTGAAGATGAAGACCAGAGTGGCAAACTGTCCACTGAGTCTCGCTCTCTCATCCAGGCTTGAATGCAGTGGTGCATTCTTGGCTCACTCACTACACCTGACCTCAGGTGATCTGCCTGCCTCGGCCTCTCAAAGTGCTAGGATTACAGGTGTGAGCCACCCTGACCAGCCAGAGTTTTAGAAGTTAAGATAAAATTGGCCCTTTCTGGCTGTTTAAGGAAAGATGTTTGGCCAAAGATCAATGACAATCCCTCCTCCTTGCCAGGTGCCAAATTAATTCCTAGGTTATTTTATAAAGGTGTTTTGTTTTGTTTTGTTTTTTGAGATGGAGTTTTGCTCTTGTTGCCCAGGCTGGAGTGCAACGGCACAATCTCAGCTCATCACAACCTCCACCTCCCAGGTTGAAGTAATTCTCCTGCCTCAGCCTCCCAAGTAGCTGGGATTACAGGCATGTGCCACTGCACCCAGCTAATTTTGTATTTTTAGTAGAGATGGGGTTTCTCCATGTTGGTTAGCCTGCTGTCAAACTCTCTCTTTTTTTTTTTTTTTTTTGAGACGGAGTTTCACTCATGTT